ACATCACAAGTGCTAGATTTCACGGTAGCATCCCGTGCGCACTGCTGTGGAAAAGATAATGTTCCGTCTCTACTAGATGATAATGAACTTTTCCAACCCTAATCGCATCACGGTATCGTTCCAATCGGTAAGCGGAGCCACCTCCGCGAGGCTTTTGTTTCCCAATACGTGATTTCCAACGTAAGCAAGATAGACCATCTTGTATGTGTGTGTCCTTTCAGCCGGTTCCAGGATGAAAGGGACTCCCATTCCAAACAAGCCGGCTAGATAAAGCCTTTTCGAGCGTCCTCGCGCATACCAATGCGGTACGACACCGAAGAGTCTTGTGTCAGTCACGAATATCGTGAACCGGCCATGAGAGTTCAAAAGCTCTTCAAAGCTCTGGTATGCCGGATTATGGACCTGATCTAAAATCCATCGACGCGAATTGAGCTTTGATTCACAATAGTCATTTAACATAGCTACCATCGAGCGTTTCTCCATCACATCTATCCGAGAATGACCCATTATAGCAGAAACGATATCGTCATTGCTGCATTTGGTATCGGAGCTGAACCCGTGATCTTTACCTGGGCTGCTATGGCGTCTTGCAAAGTTCAGAATGGAGAGTTGCTGGTTGTCTTCGTCATCTAACCCGGCCGTTTCTTCATCGACTATGGTGCCAAGAACTTTTCCCATCGTAAAGAGTTGTGTCAAGTCTCTCGAGACTAGCACGGGAAAGAAATGTGTGAACGCCATGTCAAGTATTGCTTGTATGACGCTCCTTGGTGGTGAGATATCAGGACCTGATCGTGGAGTCAAGCCGAGTTTCATATCGGGAAACCAAGATTTACCTTGGCGATCTCGGACATTCACGCTGAAACGATCAAAAAACTCAAGATAGTCGTGGAGATCCTCGAGTAAGACTGCCCTGGCTGCTTCAGCGTAGACTGTATCTATACCCTTATTGTAATTGGGTGTGATTGCTACAGTGTGAAACGTGGAGAAGCCAAGCAAGCCATACACTCTGTCCCGCGGATCGGTGGCCTTGAGGTACACGGTATGTAAAAGGCGCTGGCCAAACCTTGCTCTGAATCCAGCATTCCTTAGGTCTCTTAGTGTCAGAACAGTTGTAGCGCGGGCTACTAATGCTGGAGGGTGCGATGTAAGGTGGCTGTGATGTGGTGCGTCGTAATCTATGCAAAATGCAAAGGGATCATCTAGTGGTTTGATGTTGGCGATCGTGAAGGTTCGGAGGTATTGTCGGCAGGCTGGATCACCCACCCCGTTAATCCGGTCTTTGACTATCTCAACATATTGCGTGAATGTCTTCCAGTCTATCACTTGAGAACCATGGCAGACGTTGGGGATTTGCTGAGATAATGTCAACTCCTGCGCAATCCAAAGTCTTCCAAACCAATCTCGGCGCAAGAGAAGTTCCATAGCAGTGATGAATCGGTCTATACTATGTTCATCCAGTTTCCCAGTTAACAAGGCCTCGAATGCGAATTCGCTGTTGTGACTAGGCGGTCCGAGCCAGATCAGGACATTATTCGCTGAAGAGTATATCCTACTCATAAGCCCGACTTGATGATTCCGCTCTAGTGCCCGATCTTGATTGATGCACAGCGCATCGATCCATAATGCAGACGGGTCGGACTTGCCCTGTCGCAAGTAACGGATAGCGGCGTCTAGATTTGCGGTGATCTTTATTGGAAAGTCCTCGACTCCCTTTATGACGGCCGGGTGCAGGGTTTTGCTGACATCAATCGTGCCATCAGTCGGATTCCAAACGTATGACAGAGCATCGTATGCTGGCTTGTCTTCCAGATCGACAGTCTTGAGGATTATTTGTATGGGTTGTTCGAAGTCGCCGGGTAGTATCTCCACGATGCGTATCTGAGTAGGCCCCAGAGGTCTGTAAGGACTTTCTAGCGTCGAGTCGCTCGTTGGTTCAGGATTGATCGAAGCAGATGTATTAATACTGTTCACAGCAAGGCTGCACTTGGAATCTGACGCCATTTTTATGACCGCACTTGCAGCGCATCACGGGTGGAGATGAACAACGCGCTAGATCAAGGACAATCATGCGATTTATTTCGGCTGGAGGAAGGAGGATGAGCAGTAGATGCGGGGCACACGACGCGCCCTGAAATATATGTCACTGCCTTAGTGGTTGTGCAGAGCTGAACCTTCCCCGGCTTTCCACCCAATAAGAGCTCAATGCATGCGCATCAGCCCATTTTGCATTCACTTCCTCCACTCTTCTATTCTACCCCCTATGCCTGAAACGTTCTACTGGAAATCAAAAGCTTTGGAGAAGGCCTTGATATCCACACAAAACATTCTAAGCCTTAGCGGCACGAACCGCATTGATCTTTCCAATCAAGAACTCGCCAGCCTCCTCTGCGTCATCGCCATAGCTGAGATGAGGAAGTAGAACAGCCCCTGCGAGGTTACCGTCACAAACCGTGTCGCGAACGAGCCCACCGCAAAAGATTCGGAGCTTGTCGCGGGGGAAGTTGGGGATTTGCTGGTTGTCGCGGCGGTTCTGTGTGTCGCCAAAGGTGACAACACCCGCGATCTGGTTCTTGACACTGGTGGATAGATCCTCAATAGCACGATGGTTAACTGCTGCGCCTTGACTGTGGTCATGGTTAGTCTCTGGATGAGTTGGAGAAAGGCCGGTACGTACGAGTAACCACCGCAGACGATGATAGCCGAGGGACATTGACTGTTGATGTCTTCGAGAATGCCGCGCATCTCGCGCTCAGAGACGAGATCAGTGCCACCGGGCAGATAGTTGGTGGAAAGCAGCGCTGCATAATCGACGCCCTCAATAGCCAGGTCGTCACCGTATTCGCGGCGCAGCTCATCGCCAAGTGGCTGACCGATGATGGAGCCCTTTTTTCTCAAGTTAAACCAAAATACAACTACCCAGACTTCGGCTAGCTTACCATGTTGCCCGCTTCGGTAGATCCTCGAGCCCAAACAAAGATGACGTCCCTGCATCCGCCACCGAGCCGGCTGGAGAACTCATTCTCGGTCAAGCTGGTGCGGTCAAAGAAGATTTGGCGTGTCGCAACCACGGCAGACCCCGAGTTGGGGAGCGCGATAGGCGTGGCAGAAGAGGCGATGGCCAAAGCCAGGATGGAGATGATGGTGTTCATCATGATGAAAGTAAGAGCGAAAGATGTGTTTGGTAAAGAGACTACGGCGTAGAAAAGCGAAGGCGAAGGCGAACAGAGAGAGCGAGAGTGAGTGAAAGGCAGAAGGAGCTCGTTGTTGAAGCTTGCCGGATGATTGTGAGGTGAAGATGCCTCATACTTATACACAAGATTTGCTCAATCCTCCTTCTCATCCCACGCTCTCCTCTCTACGTGAATGATCCCGTCTCACCATCAATATCTTGGTGTATTCCAAGAGCAGTTCGCCGACGTTGGTGCCTGAGCCGAGGCAGCTCTTACTCCTCTCCACCACCCAATTAGCTAGAGCCTGAGGAGACTCTCTTCGAAGGGCCAAGATCATAGTATTATACCAAGACACTGGGGGGAAAAGTAAAGCCTAAGATTAGAAGTTGGTGTGTGAGATAGCAGATAAGATACAGGGCCTGTCCTAAACCTCACTCCTGGTAGTTCTGGACTGACCTTGGAAGACTTTGGAAACACCAATAGCTGCTCGTAGAGCATTCGACGCACCTCGGCAACTTATTGTGTATGATTGCATGACTCTTAGATCGTCTGGGGTGCATCGGCAATTCGACGCGAACGAGATCTTTTCAAGGTTGGATTCATCGAATTGTGTCGCAGGTCCTTGCGTCTGATCGGGCTTGGCTTGCCGTGATTGAAAGCTAGGTTGGGATTGTCGTCGTTTGCACCCGTCCATGCAGAAAGACGTGGGACCACGGGATTAGGCGTCCCGCCACGGCGATGAACTGTTGCTTACTGTAGCCTTTGCGGTTGCAACCACAGCCATATCGATACCTCAGGCATGTACTCACCTCATACTGACGGTCATTGCTTTCGACCTAGACAAAAGACGACTGTATTTAAGATTGATGATCTGTAGCCGTGAGCAACTCGAAAGAACGCAATTGGTGTAACGCGCATGATATTACCACACATTACTGTCAAACGTACACAACTCCCCATGGTACTTCATTCCTGGTCTTCAACTGGCTGCAATCATGCCTCGGTACAAAAATCGAATAGATTAAAGGTTCACAAAGCCAAGAGGATGTTTTGTGCAGATGATCGCAACACCATCGACACCCTTGTCAAACATGTCACAGTTGCCGAGGTCCCATTTCAGCCACCACAGTCATCCAGTCTTTCAACAACACAATGCCACTCAACCTTGTCGTATCTTCCTGTGACGTTTGATAGGGATGGAAGTAGCGCTCGAGATGGGCGAACTTATAAGGCACTATAGTCTCCTTCCAAGATGCGTGCAACAACAAGTTCTACCTGAGCAGATCAAGTTCACTGCCCACGAAGATGCGCTACACTTCTATTATTCCTCTTTTGGCCTTTGCATTCTTTGCCACCTCTTCTGCCCAAGAGGAATGTCCCGAGCTGCCTAATAGCGGTGTGGAAATCGGGGAGCCGGTTCCAATCGTTCCTGGCGATGTCCCCAGAGGATGTTCCGACTACGAGATACTCGTTGGTAAGCTGCAGTTCAATAACCGCAGAGGTCTACCGCAACATTGACCTTGTTTTTAGCTCGTGGAACCAGCGAGCCTAGCTTTCCAACCTACGGCGTCATTGTTGGTGACCCTGTTGTGAGCAACGTTTCAGCGGAACTGTCTGGAGTACAGGGGTATCCGGTCCAGGTACGATATCCAAGTAGTGCTTCGAACATAGCATCGCCAACTGAATTCCTTTCAGTACCCAGCCAGCTCGCAAATCATTTCTGGTGGACGGCAAGGCGTCGATGACATTGTTCAGCGCTTGACCTCGCAGTCTTCCGCCTGCCCCAATCAGACCTTTTCTCTGGTTGGCTACTCGCAAGGCGCAAGCATCATGCACCGAGCTGTAGACAGACTGCCAAATTCTCTATTCCCCAAGATCAAGTCGGTTGTCATGTTTGGCGATCCAAATTTGAGGCTGGGCGTGATTGGAGACAAGTTCCCCAATGGGCTGAAGGCGAAGGTGCTGCAGATTTGTGCAAAGGGCGATCCTGTGAGTCTACCAATCGTGCTGTACAGAGGTGGAAAACAGACAAAGCTGACCACGGAATGTAGGTCTGCGACTCTGGGTCTTGTCAATTCTATCACTTGACCTACATCCGCCCCGAATACATTGAAGGCGCCGTAACGTTCATCGTGAGGGCTTTCAAGGGTATGGCCCTCTAGAGCGGTAGGTACAAGCAAGTATTTGGTCCTCCAGAATATGTAAGATTGAGAAACAGAGTATCGAAGCAGGTGATATACATATGTATATAATCTGAACCGGAGTGGTGACCTGCCAACGCCAACACCAACCTAACGCTGAATCGAAAAGTGATGATAGCAACCCAGAACAGACGTCGTTTGAAAAGAGCGACACGTGAAGTGGATGCCATGCCGCGAAAGGCGTCTTAACTAGCAAGTTCCCCAATCACACCGGCCACGTAGCATAGTGCCGAGGCCCAGATGGCCGTTTTGACTATACCCGCTGCTTTACCGCCCCTCTTCTTATCTTTGGTCGTTCGTCCGCTCCGGTCTTGTTCTGTGCTGCTCTCTTGATTACTAACTGCTCGCTCGGCAGCCTGCCTGCGCTCAGTGAAATCCTTCTCAAGTTGCTCTTCGCTCTCTTCTGGCCCTACGTAGCCGGTAGGCGAAAGGCGTGCCGTTCCATCTATCGGATTGATATAAGTTCTTTCTCCTGTGATGCCAGCGTCCTTGTTCTGCTCCATTGTGGTTGATGGATCGGCCGTTTGGAAGGGTCTGGTAGACGCTGTGGAATTGAGACCGCCGCGCAAGACGAGCAAATACTTGTTTGCTTTGACGATCTCAAGACCATTCTCGATGTACGGAATGAACTTAGCGGGCTCTTCGAGAGTTGATAGCGCTTCATGTAGTGGTATCATAGGAGGGGCCGTGTGGGGTTCCGTTGTTGTAGAGGTGGTTAGCGAAAGCTTGCCGCTGTGCGGATCGTGCAAAAGGATTGTATAGATCGTTGGTGAGCCCGGTTCTGGCGAATGCGATGATGCGCCTGACTGAGGTATTTCACCAACAGCATCGTCAGTGCTCGGTTTCGGGTCTACAGTGGCATGTTCGGTCGTTGGAGTAGTGTGGCCAGCGGTAAAGATTTCTTGTATAGCTTTTGGGGCTGCATCGATTGCTGTGACTTCTTCTCCGCGCACGGTATCTGCGGTAGTTGTGCCACTGGCGTGATATGAGGCGTCGTCCATTGTAGGATCCTCCTTCAACATGTCAAACTTCTTCACGTCATGATCTTCAGTCAATCTGCTTTCCTTAACCGGACAGGCCGGCTGCTCGTGATCAGTGGCGACAGGACCAGACCTATCCTCGTTTGAGTTTTGCATGTTATCAGCCAGTTCGTAGTCGTCACGTTCGTGGGTCACCTTCACGTCGGCCTCTGTTGCGCCTATCTTAGATGGCGTTTCACTCTCTAAGCTCTCCAAAACGGGTCCGAACGGTCTAAACAGGCTGTGTGCAAGGGGTCCTCGCTCTTCAAACGATTTGCTCGGTGTTGCCTTCGGCATACGCGCGTATCCATCATCTGAGAGTCCACGCATAGCTGACTTCTGTGCATCGACCTCATGGGCGAGACGTTCTTCAGCAGCTACCTTGGCACGAAGCTGGGCTTTGTCGGCATCACTCATAGCGGAAGACGTCTTGGTCTGAGATGACTGCTCACGGTCTTGCGGAACTTCCAGAGCTGGGGTGTCGGGAAAGATTTTAATGTCCTCCCAGAGATGTGGAGCCACACCGTGAATGAGCATGGCACGTTCCAGCAATCGAGATAGGGCCATCTGTGTATCTCTAAGAGTTAGCAAACTGTTCGCAACAGCTTTGTAGTTTGCGAGCATGCTCTGATCAATTTCCGGGTCCTCGAGCCGGGCCTGTAGACTCCAGATGAGATAACGCGTAAGGTGAGCGTTCTTCTGGGTAATTTTCGACGCAATGCTCAGGCGCCTTTTGAACGCTGGTGAGACGTTCTTTGTTGCCTCCGAGTCGCCGAGATCTTGGAGCAAGGCGTATGCCTTATTAAGGTCGTTGTCTGTGCTCTGGTACCGGAGACGCAATTCTTGAATTGCCCTTACTTTCTTCGGCGTCAATGAACGAAGCTTTCCGATTTCTGAGCGTTGTCGCAGAGTGTTGATAGCAGAGTCCAGGAGGTCCTCATCCGCTTTCATACGCCTTAAGAGAGGTTTAGATGCTGGAATGTCTGCCTCCAGGTCTTCGACCACTTGCTTCATCGTCATGCGACCCTTGCGAATACGTGCCAGGATCTTGTCGAAGAACAAGCGGGTTTTCTTCGCATCCGCTTCTTCGGTCGGGTCTTGCCAGAAAAGACTAGAGAATCTTGCACCGCTTTCTTCAAGCCAAGACTTCATCCGCTCGACGCTCGACTCCAACTGGCTCTCGTCTGCTTTATATGGGGTTTCGTCCATCTTTGTAGTTGTCCTGGGCGCACTGGATTCTTGTGAATCAAACGAGATCTCTGGCCGCTGCATCTGCCGTTCGATTCGACGAACGTATTGGTCATTGATGATCTTGGACTCAAGCATCGGATCCATACCGGTCTTTGCCTTGGGGGTGCTCTCGAAAGTGCTCTCCAATCTAGCCCGATCCGCTTTTCTACGTTCTTCGTCCAGGACCTTGCTCCTTCTTGCGGCCATGTTTGCACGAATCTCGTCCGCACTCAAGAACTCCAAGTCGTCTTTGGGCAACTGGCTCAAGATTTTTGACGTTGACCTCACAGATGTGACGCTGCCTTGTGTACTAGGTGTCTCCTGTGGTGGGATGTGTTCTTGCGCGGAAGGTTGCTTCGTGCGTAGAGGACCTGAGCTTGGAGGAAGCGACGCGAGGGTTTCCTGCATACGTGGCTCTGAGGAGAGCTCGTGGGTCCCGTCAGTTGAGGATGCTGACATGTACGACTCGTCACCAGCCTTTGCCATGGGCGCAGAGTCGGCATCAGGCTTTGCTACGACGTCCTTTGGTATCCTCCTTTGCAGTGTGGTCTCTCTCCAGCTACCTGTCTCCGCCGTGCCGTATCGTTGCGCGTCGTCATATTCGGGCTTTTCTGTCAGGAAGCGATCGATAAACGAAGGTTCTGTACTGGGTGCGGCCGTGCTGGACTGTTCGATTTCTTTGGCCGCATCCGTTTTGGTTTTCGCAATGTAATCTTCAAACGACTGCGTGCTCTTCGGTCGCGTCGGCTGCTCATGTTCGTAGTCCTGCGCTGTGGCACTAGGTGCGCTTGTTGTAGATTCGGTCGACACTTCTGAATGGCGGCCAACAACCTTAACATGAGACTGCTCTCGCGGTCTCCTGAGATCAGAGGGTGACTCAATGCCAATCGGGTCGTCAGGGAGCAGTCTTGCCCTGGATGACGGTTGGGAGAAGTGTGATTCTCTTTCCCTACGGATATCGCGCTCTTCGCTATCGATCTTGACCCGTCGCGGGTAGTTCGGATCGATACTGCTACTCTTGCCTTGCTTCGGCGGCGAAGCGTTATCGTCGTGGCTCTCCATCTCTCTCAACATCCACTTAGGAATGCTATTGGCAAGCCATTCCCAGTCTTTGTTGCCCTTGCCACTCAACCTCTCGTTGCTGGCCCCGAAGATGGCCTCGTATGGATCATTCATGAGTTTCCTTCGCCATTGCTGGTACTGCTCTAGCTGCAACCATTCCAGGTTGGACATGCCGGATGGACGTTTGTTGCCATTGTTGTCTTCGTGTTGTGCTAACTTGGAGGGCGTGCGCGAGAAGCACCGCGTGCGAAGGGCCGCGTCGTCGGAGCGGAGGATGCGTTGCGCATAGCGTTGGAAAGGAGCGAGTGTCGGGTCCCGGCGCCACCAAGTCATGATGGAAGCCGTCAGGGGGATCGGAGGGAGAAGGGATGCAGGAGGTAGACTGAGAGTCTTAGCTCTGTGGCTTGTCAGAGATGGAGGATTACATGATTGCAAGTACAACATACCGTGATACCTATCGCAGGTCTGCTGTCCAAGGCACCGACAGCTCCTCGGAGCTGAGCCTAGGTGAACGGATAGTGGTTACATCAATAGCCGGCAAATGGCGCTGAGAGTAGTGGCGCACTCAAGGGACGAGAGCAATGCTGTCTAGAACGTGTGGACTGAAGAGAAGATCGAGAACAGCTAAAGGCGATGGAAGGCCAGGCAGCCTCCAGGGAGTGATGGCGTCGCCATATCCCCGCGTAAGCTCCGTGCCGCTTATCATGTTTCGCGGGGTACGTTCCCGCGTGATCGCTTGTTCGCGTCACCATTTCACTGGTCCCGGTCGTCCAGAACTGCCCACGCCACATGAGACGCTTTTCCTTTTTGCTGTAGATGGTATTGCTGATAGGGTCGTTGTGCGTAGCCTTCGGTTGATGGATATCAGTGAGGCTTGACGCGTACCAAGTCGCGTCACGACGCCGATAAGGCGATAAGGCAACAGCGCTACGCCCTATCGGATTTCATCTCTGGGGAACCTTTCACTCTCAGTACCAAAATCGCGATGGCAACTTTCATTCAATACTCACGATCCTCAATTGCAACGCTGACCACAGGTTGTCAATGAATGTATCGTTCCGAACAATCTATCTACAGGTTTCAAGATCGGCGCGCATTCATCATCCCTGTCTCGGCGTGGCACCCAATGTACTCGAAGAATTGCTGGTCCGGCTCCAGCACGTAAACCTCATGAAATAGCCGGAGAGACAATACATTGTTCAACTTTTTCGCATACATCAGGAAGCCTCCGAAGATGTTGATATGCGTCTGGTGGCTTTTACTCCAGTATTCAAGCGACGCCAGGTCATCGAAATAGCCCAAACCGAACGTTCTTTCACTGTTCGCCTCGAACGAGTTTGAATCCACAACATCCCACAAGTTCATCGCGTAACATCCAACCTCGCGCCCTTCATCACGTAGAAACTTCATCCCCTCGACGAGCACCGGATGCATTGTATCGAGGTAGAGTTTGCGCTCTCCTGGTAGCGTGTCGGACCAATCCTGGCCCGATCGAATCACGCACAGATTGGGCCTGCCGGATATACGGACGCGTTTTGAGGAATCTGCATCATCACTCGAGCCATTTGCGGTGCCATCCTTAGAGCACCATCTATCGCCCTCGAGCTTGTTGTCTTGAGCAGCGGCTAAGCGATCCCGCATGCTACCCCA